AAAAAAAAAAAAAAAAAAAAAAAAAAAAAAAAAAAACCGGCCGGCCGGCCGAACCGGACGGACCGGTTCCGACCGGCCGTCGTTTCCGGACGGCTTTCTTGCCGTCCGGCCGGCCGGTCCGGACAGCAACGGTCCGTCCGGCCGTGCTTTCCGGCCGGTATCACTCGTCGTCCGGCCGGCCGGTCCGGACGGCTTTTAGTCCGTCCGGTTCCGGCGTCCGGACGGCTTTTAGCCCGTCCGGAACCGGCGACCGTACACGTATTTTTTCGTACCTCCGAATTTGACGACATTTCACCGTACACTTTCCTCTGAGATGTTTAGAAAAAATAAGAAGGGCAAAATTGTCCAAGGGGGGCGGTGACTAGTAAAATGGGGGGCGGTGAATAACAACACCCATTTTGCATAGATGTGTTGTCTTAGGCAACTCAAAGACGTGTCTGCCATGTCCGGGATTCTCTGGATTTGCCGTGTGAAAGATATCAAAAATCCTCCATCCTCTCCCAAAATCCTCTCCCTCATATGTCATATCTTCCAAAAATAATAATAATAAAAAAAAATTCCGAAAGCCAAAAGAACGCGGCGGCGACAAGGTTACGGAAGCGGGAAGACGGTAGGCTGGCTACAGTGTAGGGAGCAGCTGCGACGGCGAAAATGAGGCGACATCTGCGAGGCGAGCCAGAGATAGAGAGAGAGAGAGAGGGAGACCCGACGGGTGGCTAGCCGGGACGATGTGTAAGCATCCATTTCTTCTCTGCCAAAAAGTTGTCCAGCTCTCCCGTTTTGTTTCCTATCAAGCCCTAGCCATCAATGTCAATCGAAACAAAAGGAAGCCAATTTGGATTTTCGGTTCAATTTTTGCCTGCTACATAGAGTTGTGTTAGTAGAGACAATCCTTTTTCTGGGTAAGTTTGATGTGATAAAAAATGGAAAGATATGAGATATTGTAAGACATAGGTTCTGGGAACTTTGGTGTGGCTAAGCTTGTGAGAGATAAAGGAAGTGGTGAGCTATATGCAGTCAAGTACATTGAGAGAGGAAATAAGGTACAAAATGATTTTTTCCCCGTTTTCTTATTGTTCTTTGGATTAGTTGGATTTACAAATTCTGCTTTAGATCTTCAAAATGAAGTCTTTGTTTGATGGATGGGTTCTTTGTATAGATTGATGAGCATGTGCAGAGGGAGATCATGAACCACAAGTCATTGAATCACCCCAATATTATCAAGTTCAAGGAGGTAACATTTTTTTTAACGATTATGAAAAATGATGCCTTTTCTGTTTGGGATTTCTTTCTTGCTTGTTTTGCTGAATCTGCAAGAATTATGATGATGAGTTTTAGGTTTGATATGAGCTAAGAAACCAAATCTTGCTTCCACTTAGGTCTAGGTATGAACAGAACTTAAAGAAAAGTTACCAAAAATCTCTTTTGGTACAACTGTTTTTCTTTCATTATATTTTTTATTGTGAGTGAAACAGGTTTTGATTTTTCTCCTGATTCATGACTAATATTAAAGATACAATTAGCTAATCCTACACATTTGAATATTCTACCTCTATAGGTGATAAAACATAGATTACCATTAATTAATTATATGAATCAAGTAGTTTCCCGCTTTAACAGGTCTTGCTAACCCCGACTCATCTAGCCATCATAATGGAATATGCATCAGGAGGTGAGCTTTTCGCACGAATATGCAATGCTAGGAATTTAGTGGAGATCCTGACGACCTCAGAAATTTCAAGAAAACAATCAATGTAAGCTGTAAGATTAAGGCTTGTGAGATGTCGTCAGTTTAGTTCACGCACAACAAATTATTCGTAGCTAACCCGAAAAGGTCAACAATTTGATATATATTTCTTTTTTGTCTTCTAATTTGTTATTTTCAAATTAATTTGTTGTTTTGCATTGCGCAGAGGATAACCATCCCAAAAGTTAAGAAGCACCCTTAGTTTCTAAAAGGCGTAAAGGTCGAATTTGAACAAGTAGACAAGGAAGCTAATATGCAAGTGAAAAATGCAGAGGATTATTGTTCTCAAAGTATTGAAGAAGCTCTTTCTATAATACAAGAGGCCCGGGAACCGGGGTGATGGCCCGAAATTGGATGCTAATTTGTTTGATGGGAGCATGGATCTCGATGAAATAGACAGCGATGCTGATATAGACAATGTTGAGACGAGCGGGGATTTTGTTTGTTCTCTTTGAGGTTGGCTTTTGCCTTTTGGTCTTAAATCTCAATCCAATTTAATCTATAAAAATTGAAGTTTCATTATCTGTTGGTACCTATTTTAGATTCACTGTGTTAAATATAGGAAATTTGATGTGTAATTCAACTATGTTTATGTTTATGTGAGAGAGCCTTTTGATTTTTTGTTATGTTTATGTGATTCTTTTGATAGATTTTTTTTTTTTTTGTATTTCTGGTATTTGAGGTTTTGTTCGAGTCTTTAGAGTTGTTCTGCACTATAAAAATTCAATTTCTTGATGAAATCGAAAAAGAAGAACCATTACAGCCTGAGAAAGTTAATAGTCCTTTGCAGATTGGGAATGAGAAGCGATCGGAAGTTGACAGTCAGGTCTCAGGTGGAGCAGGTAGTGAATGAGAAGAGCTCAGAAGTTGACACTCAAATGGAGCAGATTGTAAATGAAAAGAGCTCTGAAGTTAACACTCAGGTGTAGCAGATTGTTAATGGGAAGAGCTCGAAAGTTGAAGCTCAGATGGAGCAGATTGTGAATGAAAGAGCTCGGAAGTTGACACTCAGGTGGAGCAGATGGGTCTGCAGAAGGACACGAACAAGAAAAGCTTGAACGAAATGGTTAGCTATTTCGTACAAGCCGTGGACGAATATAAGCATAAGGTCGCATTTTGGTGTTTCGAAATTGTGATATTTGTTTTTTAAAAATTACCATATCGTCCAGTTTGCTTTCTTTTAAAAAAACTGGACATCTGCTCAAAGATTCACAAATACCTGCAATTAATTTGGATGAGGGAAGCAAATGTATGTGCGATCTCTAATGATAATCAGGTCTTCCTGTGTAGGTTGACCTCATGATTTTAGTATTCCAGTCATAAAATATACGACTCATTAGATTTTCTTACAAGGTTTCCACATCCGCCGTGCGGCGTCTCCCAGGACGGACCACCCGCCGTGCTTTCCTAATGAGAATTTGGGTAGCAGAGGTGCTGCCGATAGTAGGCTGAATACCATTTTCGTGTCTAAGGTGTATGATGTGGGGTACGAGTCGCCATTGCAGACTTTCCGGGAGGTGTGCCGTAAATATCTGGCTTGAGAGGGAGGATATCCAGGTATGTCGATTCATTTCTTATAAACTTCATAAATTCATCTGGCTTTATAAGTTTGTTAAGTCAATATCTTGTTGTTGCATGAATGAATTCAAGTTTCAGTTCCATCAAATATTCACAAGTTTGTCGTGATTGTTGCTCACAAAAATCTACACCAAAATTCTTCTAGGCAAATTCTCCCGCCAGCGTACCACAAGATAACACGTTTCCATGGTTTCATCTCCGCTTTATACATTTTTCCAATATGCAGACATAATAAAACAAGAGGAGATGTATTAAGCCTGATCTATTTGTTTTTCTTGCTTTTGCAGGGACGATAATTGATGATAAAGTCGGTCACTCAGAAACAATGACTTCTACCTATGTGCACATGCGGGGATAATTGTAAGACTTCTACTTCTGTTTCATCTACTAAATTCATTTATTTTCTAGAAGAGGGTGTCTTAATCACTTATATTTGTAATTTGGTTCACACATTGTTAAATTATGTCTGGCATGCATCGAGTCTTTTTTTTTTTCTTCACTCTTTAGGNCTTTTTTTCTTTTCAAAAGCCACATACAAATGCTTGGTATGGATATTTTTCTTATGTATATTTTTTTTATAGGGGACAACCAGACCAATGCATTATCGTGTGCTGCTAGATGAGGTTGGTTTTCTACTTATGAGTTTCAAAATAAGTAGTTGTATGATAGTGCCTCTGCTGATACTGAAAAAAGGGTCAAATTTTTGAAATGGTACGTCCAGTTGTTGGAGAAGAATGTGAGAAAGCTCAATTTAAGTCCGGATGAGATTTAACTATTGTTCGGATAAATGATCTTAAAAACTCACGTGGGCTCATCTTGTTTAAGGAGCTTCGCCAGGGTACCCGGCTCTTTAACTTGTTGGCAAATAGGGATTATGAGCATGAAGGTTAACATAATTTTATAGCATTTGAACTAATCAATATGATTTTTAAATGATTGTTTTCCAGATGACTTACTGTTTGGGCTTAAAAATTCAATCGTTATTAGTTTTGCTTGTTCCATTTTAGTATTAGTATACTTTTGCCTCGGAGAAGGATATCTCATCAGTGGTTTTGTGAAGGTGTTTATCAATGTTCCAGGCTGGTATCTAGCTTACAATAAAGAACCAAGAGCAAGTTTGTGTTTGCTGGTTCAACAAGGGTTAATTATGGACTCAATTGAGCCCGGTTCTGTGGATTACTAAATACTTAGATATTAATTTTTTGCTTTTGAAGCTTCTTGGATCTTGTGTTCACACAAAAACTTTCTATTAACGCTTTTTTATAATTTGTGGATATCTTATTATATCATCGGGATATTGAATTTGTGATGGATTGATGTGAAATTATTTCAAGCCAAATTTATAAATGCTATAAAATTTATCCGTATGTATTCTTTCGTTTTTCCGAATATTAGAGATAATTATAGACTAAACTAGGGCCGGCTGTGCGTGCACAGCCGAGAGTCCACTAGTGCAACATATATGTAGGTCAAACAATAATGTGAGAGATCTCATATCTGAGCACCAGCATTTCCCAAAAGTGGAATCCAGCTAAATCGAAAGAAAAATTGGAAGAAAAAAAAAAAAATACTTAGAAAAAGTCTAATCCAAAAGCAAAGTATGTCAGAATTCACAACTCATTACTCATTAGGGCATCCACATCCCTTAACATTCATTCAATCACAATTTACATTCTCTCTCATCCATATCATCTCCACATCATATTTCCACTAAACATCTCTCAATTTAAACACCTACCCACATTCATTCATTCATTTAAAATACAAACATATGGGACCCATTACCCACTTATTCAATACTTATTTTATATTTTATTCATAACAAAAATAAAAGTATTTTTTTAATTAGAATACTAAATTTTAAATGCTGAAAATCAACTAAATATTATTAGATTAAAAAAATATAAATCATATAAATTATTGATATATTTTGTAAAATGTAATTTGGATAATAATTGAATTAAATATAAAAAACAAAAAAAGTGAATGATTTTGATAAATAAAAAATGACATTAAAATAACATTTAAAACCAAACAAAAAGCAAAAAAAAAAAGAAAAAAAAAAGAAGTTAATGCCGTTCAAAGCAATGAATGGCTGAGGAGGGGCCCACATTAAATGAATGAGCCTCATCCCATTAACATTCATTCTCTCCATTTAAATGGCATCAGATTCAACTGTTGCGGATGCCCTTAGTACCTTAATTTAATAAAAAGAAAAAGTCAAAGTGGAAAACAATTTCAAACTAAAAATCTTATGCTGTCATGCATATCACATATTTTAATGGTTTTTCTTTATCTTATAATAGAGTGATTCGACTAAGAGCAACTCCAACAAAGGTGTAATATCAGTTTAATATTAGAGCTTGACTTAGTAGAGAAAGTGTAGAATTTTACACCGATTCTTCTGCCTTTAACGGTAAAAAAAAAATGGGGCCCTTCGTCCAATATTATTTGTATTTATTAACTTAGTAAAAGTGGGATATTGATGGTGGGGTAGTTGTAGGTCCAAGATTATTTGGGTAGTGAGTGTAAAGTTGTTGGAGGAAAAAATGTAAAAAGGATTGATAGTGAAATACTGTCACGAGAAAGGTGGTATAATGTTGGTTGATTGGTGGAGATGCCATAAATTCGGTCTTCAACTACCTATAAGCGTAGGTTTTCTTTTTACCTTAGTGTGATTCCGATTTCGGTCTTGAACTATCTACAAGTGTCGGAAGATTCCCGACGTAGAGATTCTGACGCTCAAATTAAAAATTTTATTGTGCAATATTCAATAACTTATATCAAGTGTTAAAAAAAAAACGCAAGACCTATACTTATAGATTATCATTTCCGTGTTCTCCAAGTAAATGACTCGTTTGAAGAATGAATATAATTTGACATATATCCAAAATGAGATATAATTGATTAAGTAACATTGTTAGGATATGTTTCTCTTTCTTCAACAGATAGAAATATTTTTTTATTGACTCGTATTTCTTGATTTTCTATCTTGTCTGAAATTACCTCCTTAGCACACTCATAGAGCTCTTTCCCCTAGCACTTATCCTGCTATAGTTCTCACCTCTACACTTGAAGCTTTTGCTCATACATGTAGCTCTAATTCATACCTCAGACTCTAGCTCACAATTTAGCTCTAACTCACATGATCGAGCTCTAGCTCTATCTTACATCTCGATCTCTAACTCTAGCTCACACGAGCTTTAGCTCTAGCATACACTTCAAGCTCTAGCTCTACTCTCGAGCTCTAGCTCTATCACGCTTTGAACTATAGCTTTAACTCACTCATTACATTTTATCTCACAACTTGAGATATCAATAGAGTACAACATTTTGAGCCAATGAATTATCAGTACAAAACTAGGCAGGTGTAAGTTGTGTCATGCAAACTTTAGAATTAGTGTTATGAAACAAAACAAGCAGCACGTGAGTTTGGCTACATTTAGACAACAAATTACTCTATCTCGTTTGACAAATGAGTCGAATTTCATCGAACTCGTTTAATGCTCGGTTAGTTAACGAGTCGGCTCAACTCGCTCCGTGTGTTTAAAAAATAAGGTTTTTTTATATATTTATATAATTTTTTTAACATAATTCGATTTGTTAAGGATATGATCGTGCTTGACCTGTAGAGACTTGTGAATGAAATGAAATTGAGCGTATCCATCGGCTCTTAACTTAGCAAGTTGTGTTTGGCTCATTCGATAAGAACTCGATTTCGAACTCAAATATTAGAAGCTCAAACTTGATTGTACTCGTTTACATATTATGTTTTTTTAATTTTTCTTCATAACTCAAATCTCATTTTTTTTAAGAAAAAAAAAAAAAGGAATGGATAAATTTTGAAGTGGGGTCCGTGTTCAAGCGGCGGTAAGAGCCTAGGATTCCTACTTTTCTCCACAAGTGTCCGCCCTAAACTGTAGACACCTCAATGTCCTCGTGATCCTCTCGCTGTTCCCTTATCTTTGTCCTTAAAAAAACAAATATATTTTAAAATAAGAACACACAAATAGTGAGAGAGATTCTCTCTCTCTAAAGCTGTGTTTGGCTGTCTGTGGTGTATAATTGACCTTAGATTGTTTCATATTTTTTACTCAAATTCATATTGACTTTGGGATTTAAAGATAAAAAACTGTCATTTTTTAGGAACACTTTGATTTAAGGTCAATTATTACTTGACTTTTCATGGCATAATAATTACAAACTAACATTAGAGAAGAAAAGGAAACAATTCTAGTATGAGCATAGAATACTTTGATTAAATTTGTGTGGTAAACGAGTCTTAAATACTCAATAGCTAAAATACATGAATTCAATTTGTTGATTAATATTAACAAGTCAAGTTTCGACTTTAACAAGCTAAATTATACTCAATCACATGACATTATATTTTTAAAGGAGTGACAAACTAAATCATACTTATTCACAAGAAAATTATTTTTAGAAGACACTCCGATAACTAATTGAAGCTTCAAACGAAGGTTAAGCTCAACTAATTATCAAATAAGCCAACCGAGTCTTTTCGTGAAATACTCATGCCAAACACGGCCTAAACGGTGAACAAAACAAACCAAATCACACCGCTTTTCTACTTCCTCTCGTCGTTTTCACTCTGCTAGAACTCAAACCACACAGTAGTACACTGTCCATCTTTATTCAGACACAAGGAGAGAAAAGAAAAATTAAAACCTGATTACTAGTTCAAAGATCCCTAAAATCAGGCATACAACACAGGTAATCAAAGCATGGCCGATGAAACCGCCGCGAAAATCCCACCGGAAGCCGCCGCCGCAGCCGCACAGACCCCGCCGCCGCCCTCGGACGAGCAAACCGAAGTCGATCCGGAACCCATCCCCGAACCGCCCCTAGCTTCGGTAGCGCTGGACCTGCAAGAAGACTCGCTCCCGCCTACCGAGCCGGCGGCGGTAGCGGCGGACAACCTGCAAGCGGCCGTGACAGTGATAGAAAAGGACGCCCCTCTGTATCCCCCGTCGCCGGAACCACCGCTCGCGGCGGAGCTCGTCACCGTCGCCGCTCCCGCCCCTGCCCCCGCCTCCCAGCTGCTGGCCGAGGCCCTGGCGGTGCCGCAGGAACCCAAGCCTCCAGAATCCGAACCTAAAGAATCGATCGAGCCAGAAAAGGAGAAACAGACGGCCGAGAAGCTCAAAGCGCCTGAATCGTTCGCTTCTTTCAAGGAAGAAAGCAACAAGATCTCAGATCTGTCCCATCCCGAGCTGAAAGCCCTAGAAGACTTCAAACTCCAAGTTCAAGAAGCACTTAAAAATGGAGTCTTTAGCGGCGGGTCCACCTCCGAGCCCGCCAACCGGCCCGAACAAATATCGATTTGGGGCATTCCTCTGTTGATTGATGACAGAACTGACATCGTCCTGCTCAAATTCCTGCGTGCGCGTGACTTCAATGTAAAGGAATCGTTTGCCATGCTGAAGAACACCATGAAATGGAGAAGGGACTTCAATGTGGACGAGTTAGTTAAGGAAGACTTAGGGGATGATCTCGAAAAAGTTGTCTTTATGCACGGGCATGACAAAGAAGGTCACCCTGTGTGTTACAATGTGTATGGGGAGTTTCAGAACAAAGAATTGTATGCTCGAACGTTTGGAGACGAGGAGAAAAGATCGAAGTTTTTGAGGTGGAGGATTCAGTTTCTGGAGAGGAGTATAAGGAAACTTGACTTTAGTCCGGGTGGGACTAATACCATCTTTCAGATTAGTGATCTTAAAAATACGCCAGGGCCGGGGAAAAAGGAATTACGAATCGCCACTAAACAGGCATTGCAGATTCTTCAGGATAATTATCCTGAATTTGTTGCGAAGCAGGTAGAATATATGATCTTGATTGCATTTTTGCATTTGTCGTCTGTTTATGTTTGATGGCATTGGCGGATTTTAGGGCAATAAAGGTGTTGTGTTGATCATAATTTCTCTAATGTGTTTGTATCATAAAATTTGTTCTTTGTGTGCAGAGTTTAACATATGCTGTTTTCTGACTTTCTGGAAAAGGAAACTTGTAGGAAAATGAGAGTGTATTGCTGTTTGTGTTCTTATTATAGCATTTATTTATTAAATTTGAGGTGAGGGGTTTTTGGTAAAGATCACTTGATAAATATAGAAAATGTGTTTGTGTGCTGGTTAGTGTGCCGCAAACAGAATTAGTGAAGATTTTGAACAACTGAACATATATAGGAGTATTTGGTGAGCAAGATTAAGGGCTTTTGCTTTATTTCCCCTTTATGCATAATTTGTTTTCCCTTTATCCATCTTACAGGTTTTCGTCAATGTTCCATGGTGGTACTTGGCTTTCTATAATATGATGAGTCCTTTTCTTACTCATCGAACCAAGAGCAAATTTGTCTTCACTGGCCCAACTAAAACTCCCGACACCCTTTTCAAGTGAGTAATTTGAGTAGTATTTTCATAAAATCATTTTTTGTTCTATAGCAACCTAGCATTAATTTTACTTCTCATTATTGGTTAAACAGGTACATATCTCCCGAACAAGTGCCAACTCAATATGGTGGCCTTAGTGTTGACTACTGTGAATGCAACCCAGAATTCACTGTAGATGATCCAGCCATGGAGATCACCATTAAACCTGCTACTAAGCAAACTGTTGAAATTATTGTAAATGAGGTTCGTTATGTTTTACGATTTTCTCAACAATTGATTGAGTGTAGCTGCAAAATTTTCTCCTTAAATGGGTTAGAAATTTGGTTCACTAAATACTGCACGTTAGCAAAATCAAAAATTGTCATCCAAGAATTTAAGAAGGCCCGAATCACCAAATGCTAGTAATTAGAAAACTAATAAAGCGAATTTGGGAGTGCCTAGCTATTGAACAATTATTTTTTTTCATGTTTTTAATTAATTGATGTATTTTTTTACTTTCAGAAATGCACACTCGTTTGGGAGCTTCGTGTCGTGGGCTGGGAAGTGAGCTACAGTGCAGAATATGTCCCGAACGCTGAACGTGCTTACACTGTGATTATACAAAAAGCAAGGAAATTGCTCCCGACCGACGAGCCTGTTGTGTCCAGCAGTTTCAGTATTAGCGAGCTCGGTAAGATACTGCTCACTGTTGATAACTCGACTGCCAAGAAGAAGAAGCTGCTCTACCGTTACAAGGTTATGCCTTACATTGTCCAATGATGTCATGAGTATGTTAAAGCTTGCCATTTTAAGTTAAACGTGGGAGTTGATAGTTATGTGGAAACTTTGTTTTGTTTTAATTTTCTTTCGTGTGTCTTGTGTGTGTTTTGTGTGTCGTTTTGTGCATGTTCGGTATGTAGAAATCTTGTTGCCAGTTGAGAATGGTAAGTTGGGGTTGTTTGAACTTTGATGAGCATCTTCTGTGAAAAAATCATTCGTTCATTTACGGGTTTCGAGGATGCGCGTAAATATGGGGAGCTTGTGGCTTTTCTGTTATTGAGTTCCTTTTCTTTTTTACTTTGCAATCTTTTATTGTGCATGCTTGGATTTTTGTGAAAAATCCAATTACCATAAGAATTTTGGACAATGAGCTATTGAGCTTCTCATCTGAAGGCAAATTTTGGTTCTTTAAGGAACTATATTTAGAAATTTCTCTGTTTTCCTTTGAACAGGGTGATTAGGCTCTTGAAATTAACTGAGTAATGATTAGTTGATTTTAGTAGTTTGACAACATTGATTGAATGGAGATGAGGTGGTTATGTTGTCAATAATCCTTTAAATATTTGATGAAGACATGATGAGTGTGTGGTTGTACCTTCCTTTATAGTTTTGTCAAGGCTAAAAAGTAAAAACTTCACATCATTATGGTTCTCATGAATGTTATTGATAGTTAGGCAGTGATGACCTATATTTATTCCTTTTCTTCCCTTTTTTTCTTCACATCTAGTAAGAAAAAAATATATTTGAAACTTGGCTATGTGGCGGTAACTATATACGAGTAGCTATTCATTGCCTCACACGGGTCGTAAGTCTGGCCTTGATGTTATGTAGAGTTGCCACCACTTGTACCATGTCGATCCTCCCATCAACCGAGACAGTTGAACATTTCATAGCCAGCTCGAAAACGGAGGATAAACACTGCTCTTGCACCGGGAAAATTGGGTCGTCCGAAGACAGCAAAACCGGGCTCACGACCTCACTCACCAGGTTTCCATGCATCAATGCTCGGCTGACCCACTCACGCAAGCTAATCTCCGCGCCAAATATCTCGTCGGTCGGCCTCTTGCCCGTGAACATCTCCAGCAATAGTATCCCGTAGCTGTACACATCCCCACTTGTCGATACCTTCCCTTCCGACCCGTATTCTGCTCAAGCAATCGCAATTCGCAAGTCAATTCTTTCGACATTTTTTTTCAAAATTTTGATTTTTGAGAAAAGCGTATACTTTCACCTGGTGCTGCGTAGCCGATTGTGGCCAGCGTCTTAGTAACAACCATCGTTTCTCCCTCGTCGAGAAGCTTCGAAATCCCGAAATCCCCGAGATGCGCCGTCATATCCTCGTCCAGCAACACATTGCTCGGCTTCACGTCGCAATGAACAACTGGAAACGTGTGGCCGCGGTGAAGATACTCCAACGCCAGCGCTACATCTGTGGCGACACTTAGCCTCTGCTCGAGATCCAAAAAGTAGCCGCACTTGTCTGTGTGAAGCCACTTTTTGAGACTCCCGTTAGGCATGTACCCGAGAATCAGCGCACGAAACTCCGTGTTGACGCAGCACCCGATCACCGGGACCAAGTTCCTGTGGCGTATAGTGCTCAGTATCTCGCTCTCCGTGTCGAAGCTCTTGTAGGCCCCCTCCGCACGCAGGTCGAACACCTTGACCGCCACGGACGACCCGTCGTCGAGCGAAACCCGGTAAACCGACCCAAACCCACCCCTCCCGAGTAGATTCGTCTCGTTGAACGAGCTCGTGCCGCGCTCGAGCTCGCGGTACGAGATCCTTCTATACACGGCCTTGATCGGAATCTCGTCCGGTGGGGCCTGCGGTACCGCCTTCGTCCTCCCGCGCCGTCGCCTCATCAGCAGAACTGTGGCGACGGACGCGGCAATAGCTGTGGCGGCGAACAAGGGCAAGGCGTATTTTATCACCGTTAGAACCGTTCTCGAGTTTCTTGACGGGCCGCAGGGCGGCACTCTAAATCTCGTGGGCCCGCACAAAGCAGAGTTGTGAGTGAACGACGTGGCGGTGAAATTACGGAAAGGCCCCTCGTCGGGGATCTCGCCGCTTAGCATGTTGTAGGAAAAGTTGAGTTTGCGGAGGAAGCGGATGCCTAGTAACGACTTGGGTATCGAGCCAGAGAGATTGTTGTTAGACAAATCCAATGTCGTGAGTCCTCTCAGGTTTTCACCCAAGGATTCGGGAATGGTTCCTCCGAAGTTATTATTTGATAGGGAAAGGAAATCGAGCGACTGACAATCGCTTATCGAGCTTGGGATATCGCCCGTGAGCTGGTTGGACGATAGGTCAAGGGTGCCGAGCACCTTTAGGCTCCTAACCAGAGGCGATAGCTCGCCGGTCAACGAGTTTCGGGATAGGTTTAGGACATTGAGGTCGACGAGATTCCACAAGCTGGGAGGCACCGTCGAGTTGAACTCGTTCGAATATAAATGGGCTATGGTTAGAGACTTGAGTTGGCCAAAGCAATCGGGGAGCGGGCCCATAAGCGAGTTGTCGTACAAGTACAACTCCCCCAAACGGCGCAATCTGCAGATATCGGAAGGGATATGGCCGTGTAGTTGATTTCCTCCGAGCGAAAGTGCGTAGAGTTGACTCAATCCTCCTATTGCTTCCGGGATTAATCCAGTGAGCCGATTCTCGGACAATTCCAGGACTTGCAAATTTTTCAAGTTTCCAAACTCGTGGGGGATGGGGCCCACGATCTTGCAGTCCCCTGCAAAGAACCTAACGAGGGAAGCGGATAGATTCCCGACCGAGGATGGGAGGGTGCCTTCGAATGGATTGTTGGATATCTCGAGAACCTCGAGCTTTTGGCAACCGGACAGTGAGGATATGAACGTAAGTTCCCGGGTGGCGGTTAAGTTGTTCTCCCAAAGCCGAAGGGCTTCAAGGTTCGCGAGGCTGCCGAAATCGGGCACGGGCCCGCTGAACCAGTTTTTGTTGAGCTCTAGTTTGATGAGGGCCGAGGCATTAGCGATGGAGCCCGGGATTGGGCCCGTGAGCTCGTTGAAGTGTATGATAAGGTATTGAAGGCGGGAAAACGGAGGAATAATGTCGGGAGGGAGGCTGCCGGAAAGAAGATTCTGTTGTAGGTAGAGTGTCATCATGGTCGATATATTGAATAAAGAAGGAGGGATGGGGCCCGACAGGCGATTGTATGGCGCGGAGAAAAAGTCGAGGCTGCCTAGGTTACCTAGCTCCTCCGGTAATTCACCTGTAAAGCCACGTGTGAAAATCTCGTGATTTTTCTATCACATAGTATTCTAGTATCCTGTCATATCATATCAGTTGGCGAACATATTAACTTGTGCAGAACGTGAACAGAAGACAAGGATCGAGACTGATTAATATATTTGGTTTTTCAATTTAAACATATACCTGTCAACAAATTAGAAGCAAAATCCAGGGCTACCAGGGAAGTGAGATTTCCAAATTGTTTTGGTATGCCCCCTGATCAAGTGTAGAATCAGGATATGAAGTAATAACTTGTGGAACTATAGAATATAATATTGTTCTTTATCATGAAAATACCTGTCAAGTTGTTAGTATCAAGGTACAGTTGTTCAATCATGAATCTTATACTTCACAACAATATATTTTTGGTAGCAATATTATTGAGACAACATTGTCATAACTAGTTTTTTCTTCAATTTTTGGAGAAAATATTAAATAGTTATAGAACTAAAATGATAGCCTCCATAAATAATCAACAAATATAGATTCTTTTAGATTAAATATTATACTTTAATTACGCTTGAAAGTGATAAAAAATACCTGTCAAGTTGTTCTGATAAAGGTACAGTTCGGAAATGTGAGGTAGATTGTAGGGAGCCTCAGCTGGGATGTTTCCAGATAGATAGTTGGAAGAGAGGTCTATGATTGTCAATGTGGAAATATTGAATATAAAAGTTGGTATAACACCTGCAATTAATACATACCAAATGAGTATTGTTGAGAAATAAAATATTCATTTGAGTCAACTCAGTCAAAATAAGATAATATTCTCTGTTTCAAAAAATTTCGGTACATGTGTCATTCATTCAGTGGAAGGCAACATGACTTGAAATACGAATTTGTAACATATATGAAATCTTTTTCCCTCAAAATATTTCTAAAACATACAATTACTAAACACACCGGTCAATTTGTTCTCCGAAAGCCACAATTCTTCAATCTCTGGCATGTTCGCCGGTGATCCTTCTTCAAAACCTGGAAATTAATTAATATTAAATATTATTTGCTTATGGCATAGAACTATACTTCTGTTTTCAACATTGTATTCCAATTCATGTCGAATAAATAATACGTATTCATGATGATCGACTAACGAAATATGAACTGAAAATACGATTTTGAAATGTAAAATCTTTCCCCAAGAGGAGAGTATAAGCATATATATTCTTGAATTACTTTAGCACAATCACTAATTATACACAAAACCTTGGAGCTGGTTTTCATATAGGGCCAAAAGCCTAAGCTTGGGCAAGCTCCAAACACCACTTGGTATTTTCCCCCTGAATTTATTTCCGGCCAAATTCAGCTCCTCAAGCCCTCCACACTTGGAAATATTCGCAGGAATCCCTCCTTCGAGCCCGTTTCTCGATAAATACAACATCTTGATACTCGAAAAATCTCCACACACATCGCTCGGGAGCTCGCCCGACAGCATGTTGCCTCTCATATCAATTGTCTCGACTGACGACGAGACGTTGAACAAACCGCTCGGTATGGGCCCGGATAACTGATTGCTCGATAGGTTAAGCGTTACGAGCCGGCGCAAGTTGGTGAAAATCTCGGGCCGTATTGGGCCCGTGAAGTTGTTGGAGCTGAGATCCAAAGTCCGGAGGAAGGTCAGGTTGCCGAGGTGCGGGTCGAGTGGGCCCACGAGCCCGAGGCCCGAAATCGTGAGGCCCGTGACCCGTTGGTGTTTCGGGCCGCACGAGACCCCGGCCCAATGGCACGGGGAGGAGCTCGCGGACCAGTTGGCGGTTAGGGCCGCGTGAGGGTCCGAGACGACGGCATTTCGGAAGGCGAGGAGTGCGTGTTGGTCCGTGGTAAGGTCGAAGATCGGTAACGGGCCGGGCCCCGGCCCATTTGGTGGGAGTGAGAGGGCAAGGGAGATAGTGATGAAGAGAGGATAAGTGAAGAAGAAAATCATCTCCATTTTTTTTTATTTTTTTTTTATTACAAATGGGTGATTAGTTTACATTATTTTCATGATAGTCTACAAGTCTATTTATGCTCTATGCTGGATAAATCTCTTTTCCCACTAAAAAATTAACAGGGCAACCACTTATTTATCCATTTATTTTCTTTTGTGGGGGTTACATTTTTCCTATCAGCACTAGATGAATATATTTGTTTATTAAATTGTGGGGTGTTTGACTATTTATTTATTCATTTCCTATTCAGCACATTAATATTGCACATGATCTTCGTGTTTGTTTAAGTGGTTTCATGTAATGATTCCATAAAGTAATTTTGGGCAGAAACCTTGGTAAATTATATGTGGAAAATAGCAATCCTAAATGTAGCTCAAGTGGGTTCACCATCTTTTTTGGAACCTTCCTACTGGAGTTGTTGTAACTTGTAAGGTTAGGAAAAATAAAAGGTGTAGAATAGTTTCGGTTTAGGAACTTTCCTAATTTTATTGGGTGTGCGACATTAATCGATGTCACGCCCACTAAACCAGCACTAGTTATAATGGTCCGCGCTATAATGAAATTATACTAGTCTATCACTTTATTCGTGGACCATTTAATCTGCTCCAATAATTACTGATACTAGTAAATATTCTGTGCACATGCACCGATGTACATAAAATATAATAAGTAATATTTTAGAATTTAATATTAAAATTTTAGATAATGAATATATTATATTTTTAAAATTTAATCATTAGGAAAAATAAATTAATGATTGTTTATTATTATGAACAATTGTTAATTATCATTGGATAATAGCAGTTTAATTATTGTTATTATTATTATTACAAAAATAATTGTTTATAAGATTCTAAAGTTGTTTGACTATGCTATTAAACCAATTTACTAATTGTTTTTAAAGAAATTTTTTCATGAGATACAAAAGAAAAATATAATTATATTGATGTTAAAATAAATAACTTGAAATAATTGTTTATAATTATGAAATTTATATTTATTGTGAATTATTATTAGTTGGTATTAGCGTTAATTATTATATAATATAATATAAAAATACATGATTACACTCAATAGGATGTATTAATGTGAGAAGTAAAAAACATTAATGATAAATTTTGTAACCGAAAATGGAGGGAAAATTTTAGAGGTTTTATTAAATGCTACTAGCTAGTAATTATATATATAGATAACCGAAAATGGAGGGAAAATTTTAGAGGTTTTATTAAATAAGTTTTCTTAAATGCTATTAGCTAGTAATTATATATATATATAGATATAGATACATGACATTTAAATTCCAGGCCAGTGGGTATAAAAATAAAATAAAAGAAAGGAAAAGGAAAAATATAAAAAATCATAGCTAATCCCGAGCATCAATCAGGGTTTTGCTTCGTGTAATGCGATTATTACACACTTATGCCAAAGTTTGACATTATTCCACACTTCGGCCACCTGAAAATAACTAATATATATTATTACATAAAAATAACTATTCAAAAACCACAAAGTTAGACATTATTCCACTCTTAGACCAAAATTAATAAATTAATTCTCTAAAAACCCATAAAATAAGGGGAAAAAAGGTAATGAATGGAGAAGCATAATCGAATTTAACCCCTTTCAAGCTCGAGTCACGCCAAGGTATTCCCTGAAGGGAGAAAAG